AGCTCCATGTCCTGGCACCCCCTCAATGTCCCAAAATCCCACACCCAGCTCCATGTCCTGGCAGCCCCTCAGTGTCTCAAAATCCCACACTGAGCTCCATTTCCTGGCAGCTCCCTCAGTGTCCCAAAATCCCACACCCAATCCCACATCCTGGAATCCACTCAGTGTCCCACAGCCCCACACCCAGCTCCATGTCCTGACAATCCCCTCAGTGTCCAAAATCCCACATCCAACCCCATGTCCTGACAATCACCTCAGTGTCCCAAAATCCCACACCGAGCTCCATGTCCTGGCACCCCCTCAGTGTCCAAAATCCCACACCCAGCTCCATGTCCTGGCATTCCCTCAGTGTCCAAAATCCCACACCGAGCTCCATGTCCTGGCACCCCCTCAGTGTCCAAAATCCCACACTGAGCTCCATGTCCTGACACCCCCTCAGTGTCCCAAAATCCCACACCCAGCCCTATGTCCTGGCAATCCCCTCAGTCTCCCAAAATCCCACATCCAGCTCCATGTCCTGGCAATCCCCTCAGTGTCCCAAAATCCCACACTGAGCTCCATGTCCTGGCAATCCCCTCAGTATCTTAAAATCCCAACCAGCCCCATGTCCTGACAATCGCCTCAGTGTCCCAAAATCCCACACCGAGCTCCATGTCCTGGCACCCCCTCAGTGTCCAAAATCCCACACTGAGCCCCATGTCCTGGCACCCCCTCAGTGTCCCAAAATCCCACACTGAGCTCCATGTCCTGGCATTCCCTCAGTGTCCCAAAATCCCACACTGATCTCCATGTCCTGGCACCCCCTCAATGTCCCAAAACCCCACATCCAGCCCCATGTCCTGGCACCCCCTCAATGTCCCAAAACCCCACATCCAACCCCATGTCCTGGCATTCCCTCAGTGCCCACCCGGACACACAATCCCACACCAGTCCCGTGTCCTCCCCACACTCCTCTCTGTTCTCCCTGTCCCCAGGCACCCCCAGTGCAGGATCCCGCCTTGTCCCGTGTCCTCCCTGGGAATGTCTCCCTGCTTTCACCCCCGTGTGTGCTGTCCCCTCACCGGCCACCATCACCGGCCTCCACCCCTGCTGCTGCAGGAAATGGCAGCAGCACCGGCCAGCAGAGTCTCACCCTTTTCCTCCCTCTTCCCTCCTCCCTGACCCAGCAGTGTGTGTGCATTCCCACCCTCATATCTCAGTACCATTCCAGGGTTTTAATGGGAATTTGGCAATGTGGGTCCTGCCGTGCCCTGCCCATGGAGGGCCTGGATGTGCCCTCAGAGCGCCCAGGCCGGACCCAGCAGGCTCCAAACTTGGGGTTAAACTCAACATTCTTAAGTGAAAAAAGGGGAAAAATCCCTTCAGAATGAAGTCATGTTTTCCTTGGGGGCTGCACATAATGGGATCCATGACCCAAAGCCTTCGGGAATGGCATTTCCATGCACAGGAGAAGAAACAGATACTAAATGAAAGATATTGCAATAGAATGAAAGAGGCAGGAGCTGGAATGGACAAACTCAATTCCAACAAAGGAGAATTTATGTTATGGTTTTGGGTATGAAGCCAGCAGGAGTGAGAGTTCATTGGCAATTCTGTCCCACATTTGACCATGGATGTTTGGTGGTACAAATATTTACTGCTTTCACTTTGACTTTTGTGACTCTTGTAGATGGTGCTGTGCAGGACCACCAGATGGAATTGAAGATCCTTGTAAATCTCTTCCAACTCAGCTTACTCTGTGATTTTCTAATAAATTATTAACATCATTATTGTTGCCCTGATTCTTGAGATTTTCTAAAGCCTTCTGAGTTTACATTCTTGTAGAGAACTTTCTCACACAACTTTCTGTAAACAATCTATTGTTTACCATTCCTCCATAGAGGCAGAGAAATTTGATGTACTAGTACTTTGTCCAATGTCATTGCAGAGGTGGCACATTCACCCCCCAATCCACTGTCACTTTCAGAAAAGTATAAATGCTGGAGTCAGAAAATAAACTTCCTCTTTTTCACCTTTGCAACAGCAGCGGCTCACGTAGTGATTTCACATGTCCAATAGTGACACATCATGTATGCTGTGAAGCCCAGGGCCATTTCATCCTTTGGTTGTTCTTCTTCAGGGCACAGAAATCCAAATAATTTGGAAACATTTTATTCCAAATGGAAATTCTATTTGCCAGGCTATACTCACATATAAAATCTCCCGGGAAACAAGCATGTGTAATAACTTCAGGCAACAATTAGTGTTTTCTCACTGGGTTTTTTTCCTGTGGTTGCTGTTCTTTTTCAGGAAAATACTCTGAAAATACCTACTTCTAATAGGCTTGTTGCTGGACCTCCTGTTACCCCTCAAAAGTAAAAAGAAATGACAGATGGTGAGCCACAGTAAACTACCCATACTGTTATTTTTAGTTTTCAGTGCAGTTTTTCAGGATCCTGGTTCCATACATGGAGTACTGCATTTCCAGCTTCACACACTGGTTAACACAGACAAAAAGCTTCTTTTCAACAGCATTTTTACTCTTTAAAACTGTAAAGAGTAAAATTTTTACTCTTTAAAAAAAACTCAACAGCATTTTTACTCTTTATCGCTATGTAACAGTGTATTTAGTCCTGTCTAATAAATTCTGGAAATAAATTATTATAATCCATTTTAAGCATTTTCAGGATCAGATATTACTGTATTCAATCTTAATGTGTGAAATATGTTTTTCTAAAACCTAGTCCAGTTTAACCTCTGGCACAGGGTCAGCTTTACTAAGCTCATGTTGCTCACAGCACAAACAGACTTGGCCCTTAAAATTTGAAAATTATCTGTGACCATTTAACATTCTTCAAATACCTCTCATGCCCAGAGGCCTCCTTTAGCAAGGATGTGCAGGCAGGCACTGAATTGTGGTGATTTCTGGGGTAGAAGGTGACAACCAGATGGAAAATAAAGAGCATCCTGAAGAAAGTGACAACCAGATGGAAAATAAAGAGCATGCTGGATAATATAGGAGAATGGGAATATTTTTTTACTGAGCATTCTGGACCTTTTCTTACATCTTCTTTGATGGAAAAAGGAGGAGAAAAGGAGGAGAAAAGGAGGAGAAATAGGTTCTAGGTACATTAAGTCAGGCAAATCAGTATTAGGCAGTATCAGACACATATTTAGGTCAGGGAAGTCCCTGAGCCCTGCAGTGTAGATGATGATCTGAATTCTTTAAAGCTGAGAGCGTTTGTCACCAAGGCTTATTTCAATATGATCTCTGCTATAATTACTGCTGCATCTTTGCTCCCCTTGCTTTCCCCTTCCCCTCAAATTTCCAGCTACGACTCCAAAGCCTCGTACCCTTCTGGAGAATATTTTTCCCATGCAACTCGACAGCTTTGGGATTGCCCCCAGCTCGTAGTTGCCAGCTCCCAGTCCCTTCTCCCTTGTCAGTTCTCCCTTCCCCCTCTCCCAAATATTTCTCCAGCCCTGTCTCATTGGTGCACTACTCTCCCTTGCCTTTTTTGGGCTGCCACCCTGTCAATCTAAAGCAATAAGGCCAGGGGCAGGTGCAAACCCCTTGCTCTGGCTCCTCTTACTGACCAATCCTCGTCCCAAAATATCCAAGAGCCAATGGAGTGGGAAAACCCGGGACCCCGGGAGAGGGAGAGAGGGCAAAGCTGCCAGCCCAGGAGCTGCGGAACATTTGGATTCCTCCGGGGATCGACTCGTGGGTAGCAGGGCTGCTCTGCTGATTCACTGCCAGCGCTGCCAGCATGGTGATCAAAGTCTTCGTCGCCACATCTTCGGGGTCTACAGCGGTAGGTGACTCCTTGAACATCCTCCTCTTACCGCTGGCATCAGGCTGGGGAATTAGCCCAGGAGATGCCAGGAAAGGGTTTGCACGTGCAAAAAGCCCACTGGAATTCTTACTGGGAATAAACCTTAGTTTTATTCTGACCTGACCACCTTATTCTTGAAATAATTGTCGGGATTGTCAGGACTTGGAGCTCAGTGTGGGGTTGTGGGACATTGAGGGGGTTCCAGGACATGGGACTGGGCGTGGGATTTTGGGATATTGAGGGGATGCCAGGACATGGAATGCTCAAGTTGTAGAGAATTCCTGTCAGTGCAGGCTGGCTTGCCTTCGAGCTTTTACCACAGTTACATTTACATCTAAATGACCTGTCATTGCATAGATTTACTGCTGTTTGGGAAAATATTTGCAATATAGATACACTGAAGAAAGAAACACTGGGTATTGCATTTGTGCAAAAGCAACACTGGACTGTTTACAAAAGAAAATAAAGTGTTTGTTTTAAAAAGAGACTTCAGGACACTGCTCCTGTGAAGGGGGAACTCTGTCTAAGAAAGAACCTGGGACTGAATAAAGTTAGGCAGAAAAACTTCTTTCCCAAGCCCCTTAATTTTCCTGGATTTTGGGATGCTTTTTGTTTACTTGGTGTTTTCTTTTTTGTTTGGGTTTTTGTTTGGTTTTGTTTGTTCGTTTATTTGGGGGTTTGGGGATTTGTTTGTTAGTTTGTCGGGCTGGGTTTTTTGTGTTGGCTTTTTTTTTTTTTTTGGTGTGTGTGTGTCTGTTGAAATGCTACACTGATGATTTTTAGCATTGAGATCTACTGCTGTAGCTGTCAGCAGAGAGTATCAGCTGAAGGGAAGGGCATGTGAATAGTAGGGAGGTTGGAAGTCCGTGGGAGGTGGGAACCGGGAAAGGACTGTTTCCTTTTATATCCAGTTCCCAGATGAGCTCAGATTGCAGTTTTCCCTTGGCACTCCCTCCCTCCCTCCCTCTCAGTGACACGGCTAAACAAACTGGCTGGTGCTTGCACAGAGCTCTAACTACATCTCTATCTCCCTGACACCAGCTGCATTTCTTTAAGAAGATTCCAGAGTGGAAAAGCTCCAAAAAACACCCCCATTTATGGGACCCTCATCTGTAGGAAATAAGCCAAGGCTCTTTCACTGAAGTTCCAGTTGGAATGCTGCTGAGGAAGTTTGCAGTTCTTTCACCAGCCTGCTCCTAAGCCTTACATTCTAAAATTATTATTGATATTTAGCATTCTTTTAAACTTTTTTTAATAATAAACCTCAGATACAAGTCAAAAAATAAAAGAAGAGGAAGTTGAGAACTTCAGGTTTGGTAGTTCACAATTTGTAATAAAACATTCTCTGCTCAAGTAGCTTTATAAATTGCCATGTGCACTCTTCTTGCTCCTGTTTGACCTGTTTTGATCTGGAGACTCCAAAAGAAAATTTTGGAATCTTCACAGGGCAATATTCCTCTGTATTTGCTCCTTTCTGGTGTGCTGGGTGTGTGTATATCTGTAGCAATCCCAGCATGTGTTCAGATCATTGATTCTGAATTGCAATGCCAAGTACACCTGGAGTAGTTTTCCACATTTTCCGATGAACATGGATGAAAGGTATCCTTTCAATTAACCTTTAATGAGTTCTGGTATATATAAAATAAAATTCACCCACACAGGGAGTAAGCACAAATCTCAGTATATCACTAAAATCCTATTAAACAGAAATTTTGTATCAAGCATATACAGCTTTTCCTGAAAGGAATTACTTTTATCCCTAAACAGTTTAAACTGGGAGATTAAATTGTCCTATTATCACTGGTGAACTCTTCAAATTTGGTCCCATCAAGTGCCAGGTGTTGATTTTGAATTCAGTTTAAGATGGGGCCAGCCTCTGGTGTAAATCAGCAGAGGATCATTTGCAAAGAAAGAAAAAGTCTCTATTTTATGTACTACATAGTCACAGCAATTGTTTTTCACTTTAATAAATACTTTGTGCAAGTGAATCCAGTGAACCCAATGACATTCTGGTGCTGTGAATCAGATGCTGGAATGTTATAATTCACTGTGGATCTGGAGCAAATCTGCAGTCTATATTTTCCCCCTCGATGCTTCATAAATTTATTTTAAATATCTCCAGCTTTATTATCTTTCTTCTCTAGACGTAGCTGATATTGAACTATTCATTAAAACAGGCAGAAGTGGAGATACTTATTTATAGCACTAAATGCTTGGCTTGGAGAAAATAATAAAAAAAAATATGTTGTTGTTATGTTATGTTATGAACACTTCCAGGGATGCAAAGTCCACAACCTCTCTGGCAATTCTTACACTTTATCTAGATATTATTTATTTTTTTTTAATTATTATTTTAAGGAACTGTTAGCTAGGGATGGTGCAACTCAAGCTTTGCTGAAAGAAAAACTGGCATTGCTGAAATAATATCCTGCTCATCACCACTTTCCAAGTAATCTATGCCCAAGCAATTTGAATTCTTCCCATGCCACCAGACAAAGGAGGACATAAACAAAATCCTGCAGTCTCATCCATCCTGGGAAAACCTTTGCATGTCTTCTGTGTTGTTACACCCTACATTTCCTTCTGTGAATGCTGTTTCATGGAGAGATTTTTTTGGTTGCCCACTTAGTGCCACCCACAGCAAAGTTTTGCTTTGTGGTTTCACACTCAGTTGTGTCCCAAGTCTTTTGCTCTGCCTAAACCCCAGTAATGGTGAGCCCTAAGACACAGCACATCTTCTGCTCTGTTTATCTCATTGGCATAGTCAGAAGCTCCTTGCCTTTTCCTTAAGCAGCATAATTCCATGAAATTTTACTGATTTTTACATCAGCATTAATTTTTTCACACAATATTTTGCTTTTGGGCCTGGTGTTGCCTGACCCTCCTGAGCACTATGATCCTCAAGCTGAAGAGAAATTATGAATCCAGGTTTAAAAATGACAGCTTTCCTAAGCAGGGGAGCACAGAATCTCTGGCTCCATTTCCATTATCTCCTCAGAGGCAGTGTCTGTCTGGAGCAGCAGTTATTCCAGGAGCCCTATCTCCTGACCCTGGAATTGCAGCTGACAGCACTTGAGTGCCCTGGCTCTCAGAGCATGTGATGTTACTCCTGCTGCTGGCCCGTGTAGATTTTATTAACCATTTATACAAACATTATCTTCAGTGAAATGTCCCTTGAGCCACCCTTTCTGCTGCCTGAATGTGTCGTGCAAATAACTCTGCAGCTAAATAGACAGTAATGAGATTTTTTTCTGTTTAAAAAGAGAAAATAAGAATAGAAATAAGCAGCTTTGAACTCTGTCAACTGCATTGCTTTTGACCACTTTGGATTAGTGTTTTCATTCAAAGTGATACACTTTCTTTAGCTCACTGCAAACCTCTGTTGTTGTCACAAAAATGTACAGAATTTTATGTTTGTTATTTTTATAAGCAAGCATATGTGTAGATAGATGCTTCTTTGTTTGTACAAGGAAAAGAAATTTTTTTCCCTGCTCATGAGAATTCATCTTTCCAGGATAATAGGCTATCACTCTACTTCAGCTCTTCTGTTTTATTAGATTATGGAAATACATAATCCCTGATTAACTTCTCATCTCATTGCCTGTCCCTCTGATTTGTGACACTAGTGTGGTGTCACTTTAATTTCAGGTGTTCAGATGTCTGACAACTGGAGGACATGGTTTCAAATCACAAGATATAAAAATTACCTTGATGCCTCATTCCAGCTACGTCTGGTGGCAAGTTCTTTAAAAGCTGCTCAGGAGCAGCATTCCTTTAGTAGGGAAATACAGTGAGTGTTACATTTTCAGAGTAAAGGGATGGGTTATAAGCTCAATGCCTGCACAGAACCATCATCATAGGGAATAAAAGGGTCATGAGTGAATTTTAAGTGTCACAGAAGCTGTGTGCAACAAGCTTTATTTGTACTTAACATGTTCTTCGTAGTCCAACTGGAATGTCATTCTGTAATTGGGGATTTATTTAAGCACAGGAGCTCAGCTGTGCTGGATTTTCTTGAGCCTTAACTCATCTTTATATATTATATCACATGGAGCAGTGGCCATAAAATAACCACAAGAAGTTCCACCTCTACATGAGACAAAGAACTTTTTTACACTGGGGGTGGCAGAGGCCTGGAACAGCTGCCCAAGGAGAACAAGGAGTCTCCTTCTCTGGAGACATTCCAAACCTACCTGGACACTTTCCTGTGTCACCTGCTCCAGGTGACCCTGCCTTAGCAGAGGAGCTGGACTGGAAGATCCCTTCCAATCCCAACTACTGTGTGATTCTGATTCTGTGAAATTTATTATGCCTAACATTAAAGATCAGAGACAAGGGAAATGTAGCTCACAGAAAGCTGAATGCCACTTGTGACTGGGAGGAAGAAGGAGGCTGTAACATGCTGAGGAAAATATGTACATTTTCTGACCTTTACTCACTTCAGGCAAGATCACCTCAAGGATGTGTACACCACATTCCCAGATCTGGGAAGACAGAAGGAAGCTTCCTGCTGAGCTTCATTTCTTAGCTGGAGTTGTCACTGCATCCAGGGAGGAAAGAAAGAAGCTGGGGGGTGGGTGTGTGGTGGGAGGGATGCAGTGGCAGCACTCTGGGTGCTGACAGAAAAGGTTGAATCACAGCTTCAAAAAGTTTGAGGGCTACTGGAGAAGTGAATCCCACTTCAGGAACTTCCAGCCTTCAGAAAGAATTTTTTTTCATGAAAAGGGTTGTCAAAAATTGGAACAGGCTGCCAGGGAGGTTTGGAGCCCCCATCCCTGGAGGTGTCCAAGGAATAACTGGATGTGGTACTCAGCACTCTGGGCTGGGTGACAAGGTGGCAATTGGCCTAAGGTTGGACTCGATGATCCTGGGTTCCTTTTCAACCTAAAAGATTCTGTAAACTTGACAAACTTGCCTGAGTTCCTGTAATAGCAGTTGCTTATAGAAAACCATTTTCATTTTAAAGAAGGAATGCTGTGCTCCCTCTTTCCTACCCAGATAAAAAAGAAACAGCAAGAAGTCGTGGGCTTTTTAGAGGCCAACAAGATTGACTTTCAGCAGATGGACATAGCAGGAGATGAGGACAACAGGAAATGGATGAGAGAGAATGTCCCGGGTGAAAAAAAGCCTCAGAATGGAATTCCCCTCCCTCCACAGATCTTCAACGAGGAGCGGTACTGTGGGGTAAGAAGCTGTTTGGAAGTTTAATTCTCTTTAGAGAGTGGCTTCTCACAGAAAGGGACTTTTTCCCATTAATAGGAAGCGTCAAACTAACTCTTTAAAACAATTTGAGATTCACTGTGAATGAACGTTTCTCGGGAAACAGTTTTGAAGCACAGAAAAGCAATGAAACAGAAGATTATTTATTTTTGAGAGCAAAATATGCATGGAGGGAAAACTGGCTAGAGAAAGTTCTTGAAGTTTCAGTTTCATTGATGGAGAGTGTTGGTATTTTATTTGTTTGGACTTATCTGGGCTTCAAGGACATCAAGTACATATCTGAGGTACCAGAGGCTGGGAATAGGAATCTTCTTTTTCCATTATATTATACAAATAAATAGGAATGTTTGTTTACTGGAATAGTTCTAGAATGTGGTTAGAATTATTGGCATTATATTTCTTATTCAATAAATATCCAGCTCTTCATAACAGCAACTGTAGCACTCATCAGATGCTTTTATATTTTCATATGTGCTTATAAGAGGTTCTTCCTCTTTAGACAGTTTGTTCAAAGCAGAGAAAGGTAATAACAAGCCAGCATGAATATTAGGACTGTGAATCAAAAAAGATAATCTGAGACCTTTTGTTTTCTCATAGTCTGGGTGGAAATGCCCAGTCTGGAGAGTGCTGGGATCTGATGGCTGGAATGAGCCTGCAAAGTGCTCTGGAACACAGGGCACACAGTGATCCTGGTTTGGAGTTCCTGCACAAATCCAGTGCAAACACCTGCAAGCCTCTACTGGGGCAACAGATATTTTCATGCCACTGAGTTTTCAGAATTAACTTCAGTGCTCTCAGAGCAGAAGTTCATAATATGAATATTGGAGTGCAGCTGTTTCCTCATTTTCTCATAGAATTCCTAAAAGAGAAGTTGGTGTGTTGGAGTTCATGTGCATTTCAGCATCCAATCTGCACCAATAAAAAGTGTAATTTGATATATCTTACTCTGAGTTTTGTGGCAGCTAGTGCTGCAATAAATATTTCTGATGTTCCTTGGAGAAGTTCTATAAGGAATTAAAGAATAATTGCCTTATAATGTTTGCAACTGGTCAGTCTTGACAGTAAATGATAAATACACAGTTATTACTGCGTGTCTGAAGCTATTTCAGGGAGCCAGAAAATCTACATCTTGAATTAAATTCAAGTGAAGAAATAGTCCTTTTCAAAAAACACCTCCATGGGGAAAGGAGTTGCAGCTACTGATTTAAAAACTGAATCAAATTTACAATTAGTCTAAAAGTCTCCAGAATTCTAATGTACCAGCTCTCAAAGCTCAGAGCTAATGATCCCAGTGGATGCATAACAAAGACTAATTTATGGCATCATTATTTCCAAATAAATAAGGTAATGAGATTCATATCAGTGCATGAGCCTTACCCTTCTCCCCAGGGGAAGCTGCCTCCAGGGAGCTGCACAGGGAGTGTGATGTGGGCTGAGAACATGGCCAGGGGCTGCCAGACTGCAGCAAAATCCTCCCAAGTGACATATTCTACAACGAAACCCTGGGGATTTGCATTCTGCTTCCCTGCACGGCCATTGCTCCAAAATCCAGACTTGTTTTAGGCTTGTTTTTAATGTTTATCTGATACATCTTCCCCTGTGTCCCACTCCTTCGGCCTCAGCCATTTTATGAAAGATATCCCTGAGGATTGCAAGGGTCTGTGTGACTCCAGTGCAGTATCTTGAATTTATGAAAGTCCTTTTAAAATATTTTGATCTCATCAGTTTTTAAGTGCCTCGCTCTTGTGGCACCTAAAAACCTTTGAATTTGTAGTCTGGCTAAATGCAGGCAGTTCATACCCATTTCCTGCTATGCCCAAATCACCCTTTAGCTTCAACAGCCCCAATCCAATATATTTGTAAATGGGAATTGTATCCTCTATTAATCTTCATTTTGCTGAGCTAAACAAGTCAAGCTCTTTATACCTCTTTCATTTTTTATAAGATATTTTCCCTTTCTCCTTCCTGCTATCAAATCTGTAACATTTCATTTCCCCCTATTCTTTCTGGGATCTCTCTTTACCCACATTTCCCTTCTTATCAATGGTCTTATCAGTTGTTCTTATCAATGTTTGGTTTCCATAATTCACACCTGTGCACGTATGTACACATTACATCATGATGGCCTGAGAGATAAAAAGTCAAGATTAAATATTTCCTTTCTGAATCTGAGAAAGAGGGTTTTGAGAGAGACGTGACAACTTTCAACGATTTTAAGGGCTGCAGCAAAAAGTGAATTATTGGTCTGAATTCAGTATTGACCCTGCTTTGAGCTGGAGGTTGGTCTAGGTGGTCTCCTGAGGTTTCTTCCCACCTGAATTATCTAGGATTTTGTAAAATATGTTCTGCTCTGCATCCACTGCAGGTGGGATGAGCTGTATGAGAAGAAAATGCATCAAAGAAAGTTCAAATTAGACATCAGAAAATATGTCATTTTCAGGAGATCAGCTCATTATCTCATTAAAGGTGGGTCAGAACCAGTGGATCAGAGTGATGCAATGATTCCTGCCTTGGAGGAATCATCCTTTGGGACCTTGTCTAATGTCCTCTTCTGCAGTTCAGTGAAATTTGTGGAGTGGTGGAAAGGAAAGGGGAACAGGTGAGGAGTCTTCTGTTTGTGCTAGAATAGAATGACATAATAAGAAAGCTAAGCCAGTCCCTCTGCACTTCTGCTTTTCTGCTGATACATTTTCTGTATCTTCATTTTCTGGGTGACCATGAAGAGCTGCTCTACTCCACAGCTTGCACTGTAAAGTGGAGGTTTCTTATATGTGGATTTTTATAAAGATACACTGCCTGGGAGCAGCGTTTCCACGAGGTCAGAGAAGCTTAAAACTATAAAATAGCTGATAAAATAGCTTAGATCTTATTTTTCTCCCAGATTTTTGGTATTGCCACTTGAAGAAATAGATTAGAAATTGATTCATTTTGTATGCCTGGTTACAGCACCAATTTCAAGTATCCATTCTAATCCATCAGTGCTGGCAATTACATCCTTATTTGATCTTTTTCTTAAGCTGCTTCTTTGCTCATGTCTAGACAGACGTCTGTATCTGTGTCACTTGCTAAATATATTGAGCACTCTGTTGCACTTGTGTTTTGCTTAACAAAAACCCTTAGAAAACTAGGGAAGAAAGGAAATGTAAACTTCTGTTTTTCTTTGTAAGCTGAAATCTCTGCTTTCTTCTGTAAACTGAGATCTGTAGAATAAAGTACCATTGTATGTACTTAAAAAAACATCTCTGAATTATTTGGTAAGATTTTTATTTGATGTTGGAATGTGTATTTACAGCCCAGAAAACAACTGTGTCCTGAACTGCATCCAAAGCAGCGGGGGCAGAGGTGAGAGGGGGATTTTGTCCCTGTGCCCAGGTGAGATCCCACCTGCAGAGCTGCCCCAGCCCTGTCCCAGCCCAGCAGGAGCTGGAGCTGCTGCAGAGAGCCCAGAGGAGGCTCCAGGATGAGCAGAGGGATGGAGCAGCTCTGCTGGCAGGAAAGGCTGGCACAGCTGGGATTGTTCACCTGCACAGGAGAAGCTTTGGGCTGAGCTCAGGGTGGCCTGGCAGGGCCTGGAGGAGCCCCAGGAAACCTGGAGAGAGACAATTTCCAGGGCATGGAGGGACAGCACACAGGGAATGACCTTAAAATGAAGGAATAAAGAGTTAGGTTAGATTAGATATTAAGATAAAATCCTTCCTTGTGAGTGTGATAAGGCCCTGGCATAGGTTGTCCTGAGAAGTTTTGGCTGCCCTCCCTGCCTCCCTGGCAGTGCCCAAGGCCAGGTTGGACACTGGGGCTTGGAGAAACCTGGGACATTGGAAGAAGGTGTCCCTGCCCAGGCTGGAATAAGACGATCTTTATGATCCTGTTCCAACTCAGGCCATGTTATGATTCTATAATTTATGTAACAACTAAAGTAAAATTTATGGAAATATAGGAACCTTTGGAGGTTTGTAGTCCAGCCTGCTACTCAGAGCAGGGTAGTTTTAAAGTTAGCTTATGCTGCCTAGGGCTTTGACCATCTGAATTCCAAAAGACTCCAAGGATGGTGTTTCCATGCTCTCTCTGTGTGCTCTGACCTGGTGCTGTGCCTAGAACTGGGGGAAGAATTTTCTGCTGATGTCCCATTGACAAATTGCACCACATAGACCATTTATGTCTTTTCATACAGATAAAATATAATTGCTTACCTGAAGTAAATTGTCCCTGCTTATTTTTCTTACTGCCTGCCTTGGGAACGTTTATCTTTAGTCATTCAGCAAATGGAGATGTGAACAAGTCACTATTAGTAAATCATGGGTGCAAATACACTTTAAAAAACTATTCCATGATCACTCTAGTCATTCTTTTATCTCTTATTTAATACACAATAACTTCCTCCTCAGTGTGAGGAAATAAGTGACCTTCAATTTACTGTAGGATTGCACACTCCCTGTTGCCAAGGAGCCCCTGATATCACAGAAGATTATATCCCCTTCTGATAAAGAAGTGGGTCATTCACATATTTTATTTGTGTCCTCAGGTCTGGTTACCTACAAGGCTTTGTATTTCTGGAGAATTTTAGTGCACTTGCCATGGCCTACTTTTCCTCAAAAAGATATATAAAATATCAAGTCCACTTCATGGCCTTTCCTTGTTGTTGTCTTCTCTTTGTTCCCCAGCTTTTGCCATGTCATGCCATGGTTTGCTCAGGCTGCTCTGAGTATGTGGTGTGCAGGAGGGCACAAATTTCCTGTGTTTGCATTGCCATGTCAAATTCCAGCACTTCAAATTGCAGAAAATCCTCATTTTCTTGTTTGCTAAAAAAAAAAAAAATCCATGATCCTAAAATCCTAAATCCTAAATCCATGAGCCAGATGCAGACACTGCCTGGCATGGATGAGAAGATGGTCTGAGAAATGGGTGGCCTGGAGCAGCAGCAAAATGTTCTCCAGGGCTTCTGCCAGAGGAGCAGTTCCCACTGGGTGTGACTGTGTGAAAGCCAATCTGACCCTCAGATAAATCAGAGAAATGGGCTGCCATTCGTCCTGTCCCTAAAGTTCTTCCAAACTGCACTGAAATGTCATCAATTCCATTCTTGTTGGCACTAAGGTGACTTCAAAACCATCCACTCCAGCCTTTCTGATAATTTGTGCTCTGGAAATGTCAAACAGTTCAATAAAACAACTCAGGTCCTAACCCAGCTTTACAAACAAGCCTCAAGGATGATTCAGCACCTTATTATTTACAGGCTTCTATTCTTGGAGTTATTTGGGATTAGAGGAAGGATGATTACATGATCAAGGCAGTAGTGTGGGACTCAGCAGGACATGTTCAGTCCCCTGTCTCAGAGCTGGCTGTGATTCTGGGCCAGTCACTTCTGACTGGAGATTCTGCTGGAACTTAAATATTTGTTGCTTTTTACCTGTGCAAGATGTGAGCTGTGAAGTTCCCGGTGACAACAACAGTGATTGCAAACTTCCTTAATTGGTACGAGTGTTGTACAGGTGAAAGAGCATGTAAGCTGTAGCTGGGGATAGGAGGCATCCCTGGTCTTCTCAGTTCCATTTCCACTGAAAACAGGCACTCAGTGGAATGATTTATAATTTAATTTCACCAGTACACAAGACATTTTGGTTGGTACATGGATATCAGACAGAACAGCATAACCCTTTCCTAAGTTAGTCTGAAAACAACATCATTTTCTAACCAGACTGCCTTTCTCTAAAATGAAGTTTCCTTGTTACCATTGCATTTGAGCTATCATGTTGACTGTTGTCTTTTATTTACCATAAAGAAGTTCCAGGGTTTTGAGGGCCTATTTTGTGCCCTTTCTCACAGCAAGTTTTATTTTAAAATTTAAAGGGAATAGCTTTGCCTTGGAGTGTACAGCTGAGGCACGTTAAAATGAGACACTTAATTTTACCTGATTCTGCCATTGATGGGATATAATTAAAGTGTAAGTCTCTGGAGAGATTTGTTCATTTCTTCATTTTGCCACTCTGTGTGAAACTCCCTTTATCTGTGTTTTCTTCCTGGGGCCTGGATAATGAAGACAATTGTACAAATGCATGGTCATTCTCATCTATGTAAGATTTGCTCGGGCTGATTTCTTCCTCCTATTCTTTTTGTTCGATTTTTGTTACCAATTCTCTGTTGTTTGTTTGTTCCTTTCTTAGGATTTTGAATCCTTTTTCTCTGCTAAGGAAGAAAATATTATTTATTCGTTCCTGGGCCTTGCTCCTCCTCCAGGCACAAAGGTATGCACTTCTGTCCTTCCATGGGGATCATTTATTTGATTTTAATAAAAGATGAACATAGGCAGTGACTCAGCATGTCACATAAGAGGCAGTGGCAAGCAATATGTTAGATGTTGGAGCAGCAAAGTGTTCTTAGGGATAGGAAAAGTGGCTGGTTCAGTAAATACTAGAAAACATTTCTTTGTTACCTTCTTTCACTGCAGGCTCGTTACCATGGCTCCTGATGGGTTTGTTGTTGTTGACACAAAGCAGTGTATTATTATGTTCAGCTTTTGAACCATGCAGACTCTCACACAATTTCTAGGTGTTGTTGGTTACAAGAAGCCTTCCCTTGTTCCTGACCACGTTGGACAGGGCTAGTCCTGGCTCCCAGCACAGGGCTGGGATCAGAGCCATCCCATCCTTCACTGGCACCCTGGAACATTCCCTCTGCCTGGAGGAGAAAAAGGCTCACCCAGCCCCTCACCAAGTCCCTGTAGCAAGCCTGCCTGTGGTTCTCCATCACATTTTGACAATGCTCTAATGCATTTCTGGCAAAAGAAAAAACATTTTATTTCGGGTTTATTTCCCCCGTTTTTACCTTACGTTGTTTTTACAGAAACCAATGTGTTTTTGTCTTTATTGGAATCTTCTTCTAATTAGAAGTTTTCTATCTGAGACTGTTACAGCTCTGCTATCCTGAGCTCATAAGATGCTGCCATCTTTAACGTGGGTGAGCCAACAAAAGAAATTAATCAAGAGAGTGATGAGGCAGAGCGACAGGAGAACTCTGCTGCATTGTGGTGACCTGGCTGAGGAAGTGCCTTGGAGCAGGAGCTCTGCCTTTTGTCCATCTCTGCAGCACCTTTGAGTGAAACACTATTGGAAATATTTCTTTATCCTCTTTTGTAAAAGCAGAGGGGGAAAATAAAGGAGTCTCTGCTAAGTGCTTTGAGAGCCACAGCTGAAAACACACTCAGGGGTGTGCTTTAAATGTCCCAGTTGTTATAAATGTCTTTGCCACAGACTCCCTGCTTGATAAGGAGAGTGATTTAAACTTTCTGCTTTAGCTGTGCCATCTCCCACCCAGGGAAATAAAAATGACTTGCCTACCTCACAAGGGTCTTGTGAGAATTCATTTAATTAACATCCACAAAGCCATGAAAGGCTTAAAGGACTGCAGGTATTACATATTATAGTCATTATAAAAGATATGTGGAGAATCAGTGAGATAAAGAAAATTGCATTTTTCCACCTTTCCACTCCTCAGATTATCTGCTTCTTCATGCAAGGTCCTGGTAGATTCCATATCTGTGAAGCAAAGTAACAATTTTTTAGAATTCATTTGTTCCCAGCTGTCAGCAGAGGCTATTACAGTTCCTGCTTCGTGACAACCTTGGAAATGTTGAAAATAATATGTTTGGTACATTCTGCTGGGCAGATTTGTTTGTCAGTGCCATTGGTAGCAGGCAAATCTTGTTCACAGTGATTAACTGCTGCCTTGGTAGTGGCTTCAGGCCAGAGAGTGCAAATCAGTGAGAGCGTTTGTAAAGTCCCTGTTAAATGTGGAATTCTGATAGTCTCCCTTTCAGAGTCTACTCCTGTTTGTGAGAGACAGACACACTTCTTGCAGGGGTTTTTCTCAGCATCTTCACTGCCTGTGCTTTGTTAAACAAAGAACTCTCCTGCTCTGCCTCTGCTTCTGCCTCCCCCTCATTCTCTGCCAACTCCACCAAAGATAAGCACAATGGATGCTCGTGACGCTGATTCCCAGCAGCATAAATCTGGAATTATAAGTCAGGTGTGGAAGAGATGGTGATGGTGACACATATGACAAGGTTTCCTATTAATCCTTTCTTAAAAAATTGTGTGGGTTTTGAGTTTTTTCTTTTCTGGAATGAAGAAGCAAACGAAAAAGCATGGAATCACCACAAGGCAGTAAGCATTTTCCTTCTAGAGATTTTTACCATGCTGAGACATGACAAAGATTAATATGAAGCTGATACCTGTTTGATACACTTGTCTTAAACCATTCTATTTCTTTTTCCATCCATCTATTTGTCTCATACTGCACCAAGACTAGAGAAGTTCTTCCATGATCATGTTTCACAGCACAATCCAACAGCATCCAGGACTGTTTTGAGCTTATTTCCTTCCACCTAAGGAAGCAAACGAACCTTTTGGGGCTCCCTCAACAAATTATAACTTCCCAACAAAATACTTATAGTTAAATTTATTGTCAATTCATTGCCATTGCTGAGTGCAAAATGCACATTGAGTTCTGCAGTCTCTTGTTCTGTTGTTTCTGTATATTAGTATATTCTATATATTAGAGTGCTTCATCCAGCCCTGTCCCAGCCCAGGAGGAGCTGGAGCTGCTGCAGAGAGCCCAGAGGAGGCTCCAGGATGAGCAGAGGGATGGAGCAGCTCTGCTGGCAGGAAAGGCTGGCACAGCTGGGATTGTTCACCTGCACAGGAGAAGCTTTGGGCTGAGCTCAGGGTGGCCTGGCAGGGCCTGGAGGAGCCCCAGGAAAGCTGGAGAGAGACAATTTCCAGGGCATGGAGGGACAGGACACAGGGAATGGCTTCAGATTGAAGAGAGGAAGATTAGATTAGACATTAGGAAGGAATTCCTTCCTAATAGTGCAAGTGGTGGGTAGTGATGCACTAGAAAAGGTCTCCCAGAGATGATGTGGCTGCTCCTGGATCCCTGGAAATGTCCATGGCCAGGTTGGATGGAGCTCTGAGCAACCTGGGGTAGTGGAAGGTGTCCCTGCCCAGGCTGGAACATGATGATCTTTCAGGTCCCTTTCAACCCAAGTAATTCAGTGATTCTCTGATTCTGTGATTTTATCATACCAAGGATGACATCTATTGCCTTAAAGGGTGCAACGTGCCCATAAAATTCAGTGACTTTACAGGAAACAAATCCATATTTGTGGTGCTTCAGCAAGGGTCTGTTAGCTCCCATCATCCTCTCTCCTGTTCCCTCCTGACCACAATGGTTTTTGTGTTCTCCAGAGCATGATTTAGCAGGGCTGAGCAGAACAGTTTTCTGTGCCTGAGAGAAGCAGCAGACGTAGTGCTTGTGTTAATAAGTAATTTAATCTATTAATACCAAATTCCTCCTTACCTGAAGGAATACCTACTCTAGAATAGTCCCAAACACAGTTCAGGGCAGGCTGGGATTTAAGGACAGCTGTGCCTGACCCAAAGATCACTCAAATCACTCAGATTTCTGAGAGGTCCTGTTTAATCTTGAATTAGTGGTCTGAGTGGTGCTATCCCAATAGGATACACGTGTAGATCTGAGCTATGATTGGTGTAGTTTTTATGTTTGGGGTCAAGTGTGTCAGTCTCAGCTGCCTCACAAGTTGGGTATATTTTTTTAAAGTTGGCACCACTTCTATGCTTAGTCTCACTCAGTGAACTCTGATTTATGTGATTTGAAGGTCTGTTTTCAAATATTGTGCATACTTGAAGCCTTAATACCACTATTTTTGATCCTAATATCCAGAATCTTGATATCCCCAGGTCTGTAGATACTGAAGCTTAAGTTAGCTGAAGAAGGCTTCTCCAAAATCTGCTTTGAATTACAAATTTGTGCTATGTGCACTTTATTTAAAGAGAAAATGACCTGTCAGCCAATCTTCAGAAACTATACTTCATTTTGAATTCGTTGAAAGTTGAATTCTGTGTTTCTATGGAGAACCAGTGTGGCAATGATATTCTGAATGTCAGAGTTCTCCATATAATTAACAAGAACTGTGTGTGTGTGTGTTCTGGCTGATATGCTGCTTCTAGAGTTTAGTTCTTTCAGCTGCAACCCTTTTTTGTGTCTTATGATATAAGTATGTGATTCAGCTGAGATGGATTCACACAACTGGGTCATTTTAATTAGGATGCTTTCTGTGGTTCTTATGCATTTTATGTCCCAGCCAAAAATACTGAGTGTATGGTTTTTAATGAAATGTTAATATTTGTGCTGGAAATAAGTATTTAACCAATTTCAAGACCAGGTTGGATGGAGCTCTGAGCAACCCAGGTCTGTTGGAGGGTGTCCCTGCCCATGGCAAGGAGGTTGGAATGAGAGGATCTTTAAGGCTCCTTCCAACCCAAATCACAGTCAGTGATTCTATTAATTTAATCTTCATTAACATTATCCTTTTCATTTGAGGAACTTCTGCAGAGAAAGTATCTGTAAGAAGTTGCCATTTCCTTAAGAAAATAATGTATTAACACAATGTTACACAAGACAATGTCAATGTATGTTTGTGTTACTACATATTTCAATCTTCAAATATTTTTTGGCTTCTGGGACAAAAGTAAACAATAAACCAAGCCAAACAAATGTGTCTGTAGATCTGTTTTAATAACAACGGCACCAGTATCAGAGTGCAATGAGCCCACAGTTTTATGTGCACTTGAAATGAGATGATACTGCCAGAAAAAGAAATTGTCTTTTCTCCCTCCTCCTTCCTCTGGCTCCTTCTGCTCCCTCCCAGCTGCTCATTCCTCTCCCCGAGCATCCCCCACGTGCTGGCACAAACACTTGTGCAGCTGTGTGACAGAGTGTGAAAGTGTTGTGATGTAGGAACGTTTTGCTTTTTAAAGCTTTCATTTTGATCAGCTCCTCTCCACTTCCAGAGGAAGGAGAACTTGGGGACCTTTGTGCCCACTCTCTTTTCACTGCAAGTAACTCGGATGTAAAACTGAATTTCCACAACTCGGGAGGAAATTGCCAAAAGAGCACCAAGCTTCAGCAAAGCCATCAAACTGCTGTGATATCTGCTTCCTGACATTCCTAAGCTCCTTTCTATCATTTCTGTCCCCATCCAGCAGAGCTTGTCAGCAGGAGGACATCTCTTATGTCCCACAGCACATCCTGGGACAAAGATCCCAGTCAGCTCTGGGGATAAAAGCCAGCCAGACATGCCCTGTTCTGCAGAGTAAGAGCACTGGCTGAGGAAATCATCATGAGGACACTGGAGGAGGACTTGTCAAGTTTAAAGGACAGGGGGACATGACTGAGGGCTTCTCTTTAACTGTAGGGACAAATGAAATGATGGAAAAGCAGCAGACCCCAGAGCAAGCAGGTGGCTGAGTTGTAAGGGCTTGGTCCCAGGGATGGGGAAGAGTTTGTCTCCTCTCAGGGATGTGCTGCTCTTCCCAAAGCGTGTGGGGCTCAGGATGACACAGGACAGGACCTCCCCTGAGTGCCAGAGGAACCCACCCCACATAACACCTCTCAGAAGGGATCAAATTTCCTTTTAATGAATAAGGTAATTTACCTCAGCTTCTCTACTACAGACCACTTCCGAAATCTCCCACTGATGATGATTAGAATTTTTCTTCACAGCCAATTTGTACTCATTTTGCATTTCCCTCAGCACTCCTCCTTGTCCTATCCCTGTCTGCTGTTTACTCTGGTCTATTTTGGGAGTGCCATCACATCCCCTCTCAGCATCACTTTCAGTGGATTAAAGCAATGAAGCTTTTTTTGTCCCCCTTTCATAAAACAGGCTCTCCACTCCCTCAGATGCTCCTGGAGCCCTCTCTGCACCTGCTCCAGTCTGAGTTTCTCCTTCTTGAGCCTGAGTGACCGGGATGGCACAGAGCAATCCACAGGAGGCTTTGCCTCACCTCATGCACCCCAGGATCACATTTTTTACCTGTTTCACTCTCACATCACCCTCATGGCTCAGTTACCCCATGCTAATTTAAACACATCCATCTTTTTCTTCCTTGATAATCATTAACTAACAAGCTTCTAAAGTGCAATAAAAAAAATCACTTTCTAATGTCTGACCCAGAACTGCTTGTCTCAAATAAGGTGACTTTGCACTTCCTGCTCTTGCATTTCATCATATTACTGCTGTGCCACTCAAGAACTCCTTTTATCTGACACAGTGTGGGAGCCACTGTGACCTTTCAGAGCCACCTGGCTGAAAGGACACCAGGATATTTGTCAAATAAAGAACTTCCCAGGAGGTGCTTGGTGACGGTGCTGGAATAAATGGACTTAAGTGATTGATGTGGGAAGAGTTTCCTGATGGTTTTAAGCAAGAAAGTTAAGAGACTAAATGTGAAATCCTTTATTATCTCTGTTTTCCTGGAGCTTCTGGAGGATTTTAATTGGAATTCATGCTGGTGGAAAAGGTTTTTTTCCCCTGAAACTCAAATGTGCCATCAGGGTGAACTTTGGCTTCTATTGAACTTTCAGAGGAAGGTTAGGGAATCTGCTATGCTAAGAAGTGCTTGAATTCATGTTTTCCCCACACAAATCCCACCTGGTCAACATGCCAGCAAGTGTTCTTTTCACAGGAGAAATACACCCTAAAAGGGGATATTTTCATTTGAGAGCTGAAGCAAAAATAGAAAAACACCTTCCCAAAATAAGAAAATCAAGAATTTTATAGAAATGAGTTGTTGATTTTGTGTCCTGAAGCTTACCATGACTTTGCTTTTACTGCCAGGAGACTGAAAAGTCTGATGCCACAGGGGAGAAGTCTGATGATGCCACAGAGGAGAAGTCTGATGCCACAGAGGAGAAACCAGAAGCAGCAGAAGATAAATCTGATTCCAAGGATGAAAAATCTGATGCCACAAATGCAACTGAGGCACACGCAGAAGACAAGGCAGATGAAGGAGCTCCTGAAGAGGCTCAATCTGGCCAGACACCACCAGAAGGTCAACAGGTAATTTTTCCTTTCTCTTTGTGATCTAAGGGTTTTACCTGTGCTAAGCACATGGAACATAAACCCAGAAGCCCTCCTGGTGTGCCCCAGGGTGACTGATTGCAGAGTGTCTTTTGGATGTGTTTTTATTTTTTATATCAGGGTGATATCAAACTTAGATAAAACTCCAGGGAACTTTGTTCTGATTCTTGAGTAACAGCAGCTGCCTTTTGCCCTTTGTTACCACAAGCTTTTTATTTTATCTTGATGGCCATTGGGAACCAGAGTCTAGTTATGGAGGGTAATTTAGGACTAGACATCTGAGTCCTGCCTGAAAAAACAAATTGCTGCTCTCAATGGCCAGCATGTGCAGTGCTCATAAATATGCCTGTAAATGTTTCCTGCAGATCTGACAGATTTGACTTCTCCAGGCCGTGCAGAATCCCCTGGGCAGTGCAGAAAGGGAGGCCAATGTTTTCCTTCCTTCTTCTCCTGCTCTGGTACTACAGATCTCAAACAGCAGCTCAGGTTGTCCTTTAAGGACGGGTTTATTTGGATGCTGACTCTTCCCAGGGAGTCAGATTGTCAGGTTCTTCTGGTTTTGGAGATCAGATGCTCCCTGGGGAATATCCAGCCCAAATGCATCATCTCGTACATCAAAGATCAGAACAAACGGAGTTTGGTTGTTTTATGGTTTTTTTTTCTTTTCATCTAGCTGCAATGTTTCTCCAGAGGAAAACCTCTCTGTAGGCCTTTCCCCACTGCCCTTTTTAATAGTGACTGATCTGGTCACTGTTGGGCTGGAAAAGCCCCTTTTACACATCCTCAGCCACTGGGAAGTCCCACTTATAATTTCAAAACAGTGATGAGGAGAGACAGTCCTCAATGGGAACTGAATTTCTCCTTAAGGAAAATTATATCCAAGCACTTTTCATGTTGCTATGATTTTCAGCTGGCAGGTGAGTGCCATCAAACTCCTTTTTTTTGGCTCATAAGAGGAGCCAAAACTGCTGCCTGGCTTGGGTGCCTTGCCCTTCTGGCTGGCATTCTGCTTTAATGTTTTTCAGATGAGAGCAGAATGTTGGAATTTGTCTGCAAATGTGTCAGGCAGCTGTGCAGGAGAGGTTTTGCACTGACATCATGCAGCACCACTCCTGTACAACCAGAACCTTGCTCCACTTCTCACAGAAAAGATTGGAGTTAAAAGTGGAAAACAGATTTCTCTGCAGTTTTTCAGGGAGGGGAGAGGCAGAGGAGAGAGCACAGAAAACACTTTTTGCCCTGTTCCACCACCCACTTTCCATGTCACCCAGGACAAATCACTTCAGTGCTGTGGCATCTGCCTGCCTTGCTACAGTTCACCCCAATTATCACTTCTGTTGGGATGGCATGAATCATTCTGTAGGAATTCTGCTATTCTCACTCACTACAGACAGCACACAGAGCACAGGGTTAGATGAGAAGAGCAACTCTGAGGCAGCTACAGCGAGATGAACCCCACCTTTTGTCTCTGTATCTCAATTTTTGCTTATAAAAGAAAGTAAAAATACCATTTCCTTACCTGAGCAGGGTTTGATGAAAGCAAATACACCCAAAGACTGCCAGGTTGCCATCAGAGTACCTCCACTGGATGTTAAGCCCTAAAGGATAGAGATATTTTCAACACAAACATTTGAAAGATGGCAGTTTTATGTTCCATGGCTGAATTAATATACCAGTGGGAATTTAGTACTGAAATGTTGGCCTTATTTAGCACTGCTCCAAACCACCTCCAAAATGATTCCCATTTGTGGGGTGTAGCCAAGCCAGTTTTTCTCCAGGGACTTTGCAGGAGGAATGTGAGAAATTCTGGAAGTTACCTCAGCCTTTGCCAGTGAGCAGAGGACAGAAACCAGAACCAAGTGGGGCTGTCTCAGCCCTGGGGCTGCAGGGAGGGTCCAGGTTTCAGGAGGCTCCTCCAGTGCTCAGTAGCAGGGCATGTTCAGTGTGGAGGTTGCAGCTCTCTCCAGCTTCTTCTGCTCTTGCTGGGAGATGCAGAAATCCAGAAACTCCAGGTTTTTGTCTGCATGGATGCAGTGCCTCCCCTTCCTGCTTTTTCTGTCTCTTTGGTTTTGAGTTTCTTGAAGAGAAGACTGAGCTCCAGCTCACATGGACCTTGCTGGTCACTCCATGTGCTGGTAATACATTTTCTGTAGTTTTTCTGTCTGATTTTGACTTCAGATTTAGGCTTGGAGGTTTGAGTGTTTTTTAAGTGGTGTCCCAGTTAAATCAGTTTTCAATACAGATTAGGCTTCCTTCAGGGCAAAATTATTTTAGAAACATGTTCAAAAATCATATTATAATGCAAGTCTGTATCCTGTCTCAGCAATTCCCCAAGCCATATTTAAACCCTGGCACTACAACTCACTCCCCTAAGTCATTCCATGAGAACACAAATCAACCCCTCTGCCTTCTGTGTGGCACTGTGACATTTGCCTCTTGTCTTTGGGATTTTGTGTAGGATCAGCTCTTTCCCCCAACAGCCAGATTAGGATTTAACATTAAATTCTATTCACTTTGTACTTTTTTTTTCTCTTTTTTATCTTTCTCATCACTTCTGCTCAGTCTACAGTCTAAAACCAGCTTGTATTATTTTTTATTCCCTGTTGAGCCAAGGCATCTGTTGCAGCCTACAACACTTAACAGAATCACAAGCCAGATTCTGAATGATGATATATAGCATAGATAAGACTCTATAATTCTGATTATACTTTCATTTTATAGATGAGCTATTTACAAAAAAAACCCACAAGAACTCTACCTAATCAGGGAAACAAAACCCAACTCCAAATCTTTGCTTGCCAATGAAGCAGTTTTGATTGGAAGTAAGTGAGGAAAAGGAAACTCAATTTAATGATTTTATATTCTTTTCCAACATAGAAGTTAATGTGCTTGAATGTGCTTTGTGAGTTAATTCGGAGGACATTATCTCCAAATGAATCCAATGAATTCCACAGAATTTTCCTTAATTCAGTGTTTAACTTCTGCTGTGTTTACCCTGTCTCATTTCTGATATTCTTTCTTTAATTTATCTTTCTAACATTTTCTTTTGTATCTCTTTGGTAGGAAGGCAAGGAAGAACATGCAGCAACAGGGGTATAGTACACCTGGATATTTTATTATCATCTTTTGTTTGTGTGTATTTAATTCCTTTTCTGTCCTTTTGCTTCACTCAAAAGCTGGTAAATTCTTATTCATGAAAGTAAACTCACCACAGTCATATTCTGCTAGAGATAATGATTGGTCCTATTATGGTGTTATTGGTTGGGAACAAAGATGGGCCTTTAATCATTAAAAGGTGTAAATGGAAGGCAAATTGTCTGTCACAGAGTCTTCAATAAAATTTGCCAAGGACTCCCATGCCAAGTCCATCTTTGATAATCATGACTGACACCATGCTGTGATTGCATTTTCAGGGTGAAAGACTAATTCTGACAATTTAGGCAGTTCTGCCTGTAAAGGAGTTACTTCCCTCATGAGAATTTGTAACACCCAGGTGCAAATCCTCAAAGACTTTTCTGCTTTGCCCAAACCTTCAGGATCATTCAGTCCCACCCAGCCCCACCAGCATCACCCCAACCCTGTCACCAAGGGCCACATCCAGACTCCTCTGGGACAATTCCAGTGACTCCAAACCTCCCTGGGCAGCTCATCCCAAGGCCTGACCACTCTGTCAGGGAAATTTTCTAATCTCCAATCTGAACCTCTTCTGATGCAATTTAAGGCCATTTCCTTTGTCCTTTCATTGGCAGCAGAACCCAACCCCCCCTCCCTGCCCCTCCTGTCAGGGATTGTGCAGAGCAATGAGGTCCCCCCTGAACCTCCTTTTCTCCAGCCTGAACCTCCCCAGCTCCCTCAGCTGCTCCTCCCAGGATGTGTTTCCTGACCCTAAAGCTCCTGGACCCATGAGCAAAGTGCAGAGGTTCCTGGAGAGGCTGCTGAGGGCCACCAAGCCTGGGTAGTTTTACCCTGACACCACTAACTAATGCTTCAAGTAAGAGAAAGAATAAATTTTTCTTCCTGTAAAAGTTAATTGACTTGAATTTTGGATGGAAGTTGGTAATACCTGAAAGATGTGGCTAGTCTGTGTGTTCTCCTGGCCCTGTGTCAGAGTTCTCATGAGACAAAAAAAGCATCTTTCCTGGGGGAAAATGCCCAGAGAGGCAATATTCCTTTGGCATAAGAACTTCTAATCCACAGATGTTTGTATTACATTTCTGGCTTTACAGAATGATTCTTTAGTGCAATGTTTTTTCCCTGAAAAACACTTGAAACCAGGAATCTGATTCCATCAGCTCCATTCCCAAACAGATATTTAAGCAGGATTTCACTTCAGCAACTCAGGTGTGGCTCCTGCACAGACAGGAGGTGCCTGGGAGGGAAAACAAAGATCTGTGCTGCTCATGTATGACCTGCAGTCCTGACTGAAGGCTCATTAATGATTCTTTGATTGGTTATTTGATTATGCCAGGAAGAAATTCACGTCACTTTAGCAGTCCAAGCAGTTTGTGAAGGGGTGGCAGATTGAAATAAAGCTGATTTTCACACATGGCAGTGCCTTTGGGCAAGAGATGGCTGGAAGAGGAGCAGAGGAGCACACAAAGCAATTCCAGCTGTTTTTCAGAGTAGAGCTTCATTTACTCTAGAAAGTGAATAAGCAGAGATTGCTGTCTGTGTCACACAAATTCAAGCTTTCAGATAACTGCTGATTGAAGCAAAGGGCTGTTGTTTTTCAATTGTGTAATTTCTCCTGCATAAAAGACAGAAATAAGAACTTTAGGGATAGAAACAAGGCTCTATTTGATTCTAGGTAATTTTTAGATCATTCAGGAGTCTAGTTCCTGTGCCATGAATCTTTAGTTGTTTACTGCTTCAGGAAAGTGTATAATTAAAAATACTAAACTTTTTGTCATATTCACATGTATTTCATATTCTCATTTTGATTTTGAGCACCTATTTGCAGCTTAACCACATGTTCTAACCTCACTAAGAAGAGGGTTCTTATATTCCAGCATGTGCTTATAAACCCCACAAAATAAAGCCCTGCCATGTTGAGATGAAAACTCTATACATTAACTCTGTTTTTGAATCTCAAAGAATATTGCATTTACTAGAAATAGAACAGTTGTAAAAGCAGAGCTTTACATTTCAAGACTGTTTATTTTTTTCTTTCAATTCCTATACGGTAACTACAAATATTTTCTTTAAAAAAAAAAAAGGAAGAAGAAGAAAAGCAGGGAGAGGGAGAAGAAAAGGAAGAGGTGGAGGAGCAAGAAGAGTCTTAGTACAGTTCCCTATGACACAATATTTCTTGAACAGGTTTTCAGGTAAGTATTGGGACATCAAGCACAGTTACTAAATACCCTTAAAGTAACATAAACTTGCAATTTGTGTAATCATTGTTGTGGACAGGCAAAGTGTCCATACACAAAGTACCCAGCTGATAACTCAAAAGTAGATTTAACTGTTGTAGCTTGTTTTTCACATGGAATAAGAATTATTCCCTCTTTTCTCTTACTCAGTTGCTGATTGTACTGCAGCTTTTAGGAGCTCTATATCTTACATGAATTCCTCTCTTAAATTTAGATGAAAACTTAAAATACTGGTAAGAGAGAGGAGCCTGACAAGAAATATGACTCAGTATAAAATTACTGAGAATAGGCCAAATTTAAAACCACAAAAGAGGAAGCACCTGGAAGGCAGTTTGTCCAGTATATGTGTGTGAGCACACCAGCATTGCTCCAGTTCTGTCAGCCTGTACTTTTGAATTTTAATTTTCAGCTTTTCTCCTTCCTCTGTTCCTTCTCCCCTGCACTGAAATGCAGATCAGACAGTCACTTACTGCGGAGAAATTCAAACTTACAAGAGAGTTGGAATTTCCAGGAGGTTTTCCTTTGAGGGATGGGACTTGCTCCTGATCACAGACACAACGTGCTGTTCCTAGAGTCCACAGACTCATGGAATGGTTTGGGTTGGAAAGGACTCTAAAGATGATCCAGTTCCAACCCCCTGCCATGGGCAGGGACAACTTCCACTATCCCAGGTTTCTCCAAGTCCCATCCAACCTGTCCTGGGCTGGATTCCTCAGACTCTGAGGTAGCTGCCAAAAGTTTCACCAAGCAGGTGCAGGTGAGATTTCCCAGCACCTCGACAGGGCAGGAAATCCATCACTTCTTTCATGCTGCCTCTGCCAAATCTGGGTTCATCTGCTGCATGGGAATTAATTAATCACAGCATTGTCCAGAGTTCAGATCTGTAACATCAAAGAAATACTGAATTCTAATTGATTTTTCTTTGGTTTTGTTCAGGAAGCACCAGCTGGAGCCACCCCACCAAAGAAAAGAAAATCCCTTTCCCAAGCAAAGCACCTTTTGTGCCTGTATGAACATAAAAACACAAAGAGAACACAGCTACCACTCTGTCCCACCTGTAACCTTTATATATATATTTGGTATTCCAGTTGCATGTTAAAATGGATCTCGTCTGACAGATGGTATTTCAGTCAATTGTTTTGTGTTGGGATAGTTTTGTCCATGTCACATTTAGATTGTGAGCTCTCCAGGGCAGGAACCATGTCTCTCTCCATGTCCAAGCACTGCCAAGCACGCTGCTGCCACTCAGCAGCCAACTGCACTCACACCACTGATGTCTTCAGAGGAAAAGAAATTCAGCACTGAAAACTGCAAAAGAGGCTTCCTGCACACAAGCCATGTGAGTCACTTCTCCCTCAGCTGGCATTTGAAAATGATTGAGGTTCCCATTGTGCAGCAGTTTAAATAAATGTGTTTTCTGTTGTATCTGCTCTTTGTCTGCAAAAGCAGTCATTTCACTCTGTGTGCAGATGTTTTCTCCATTCTTAGGGACAAAGTCATGGAATCATAGAATCATGGAATGGACCTTAAAGATCATCCAGTTTCCTCTATCTGAGGTTGCTCAGAGCTCCATCCAACCTGGCCTTGGACACTTGCAGGGATGCGGCAGCCACAGCTTCTCTGGACAGCCTCTGCCAGGGCCTCTCACAATAAAGAATTTCTTCTCAATATCCCATCTAACCCTACTCTCTGTCAGTGTGAAGCCATTCCCTGTGTGCTGCCCCTCCATGCCCTGGAAATTGTCTCTCTCCAGCTTTCCTGGGGCTCCTCCAGGCCCTGCCAGGCCACCCTGAGCTCAGCCCAAAGCTTCTCCTGTGCAGGTGAACAATCCCAGCTGTGCCAGCCTTTCCTGCCAGCAGAGCTGCTCCATCCCTCTGCTCATCCTGGAGCCTCCTCTGGGCTCTCTGCAGCAGCTCCACGTCCTTCCAAAATCATCAGCCCGAGGTGCAGCAGTGGCCAAGACCCAGGGAAACGCACTGTCAGCAGGATGGCAGGGCCTTGCAGCCGTACAAACCTGGCTGTGTTGACATCTTGAGCAGGTTGTGCAGTCTGGTCTCAGGGAAGACCCACGGATGTGAGAAATACAGAGAGAACAGCAGCTGGAGAGGATGAAACAGCTGCTCCATGAGGAGGCTGACAAGACTTTCTAATTTGGAGAGGAAGCCAAGGAAGCTACAAAAAAAACATAAAGATGAATGCAGCACAGTGAGTCAGAAAATCCTGCAAAACCATAATGAAAATTAGCAGACACAATGAAATGAACAGATCGGCTTGAAAGAGAAAAGAGAGAGAATGTTTTTATGCAGTGAATCAGGAAATTTTGGAATTTGTCATCACAGGATGTTATGGAAGCTGACAATGACAACGTGAAGGGATTGGGCAATGTCAGGAACAGGAGGGTTATAAATGGATACTACAGCCTGGGATGTGCCCACAACATCCCGAATCCAAGGAATCACAGATGCTGGTGGCTGGGGGCAAAAGGATATAAATACTGCTAATCCTAAATATTGTTGCCCATTTCCACTTTCAAAGACTGAGTACCAGCTTAGGTGAGTGATTTTAGCATTTCTTATGTTCCCGCAGGTAATTCCTCTTCCTGGGGAAAATTTTCCCCATCTCACCAGCAGCCAAATCAGGACACCAGTCATTGCTGCAGAAGTTTTGAGCAGAAGGACTTTTGGGAGCATGGTGGACAATATAAACACAGAACTGTTAATCATTCTGGAAATGTGGTAAATCCAATGTGTGCTGTGTCTTGATGTATTCCCAGGCTGCCTGAGCTTCCTGTGGCTGGTCAACCACAGGTTCCACTCTTCCTCTCAGAACAAAACCCCTGAGAGTACTCAGGACATCAGGCAGGGCTGCAGCTTTTGGGTTTGAGACAAAACCCACCACACTTTGCACGTTCTTGCTGAGGCAGAAATTACAGCAGTGATCTTCTGGACAGGGTCTAATCTGGGAGGGAATGTGAGGAATGCTAAGCCTCCCACGTGGGAGGGACACACTGCCCTGGTCTTCAGCTGGTGACTGGGGTGAAAACAGCAGCAAAGGGGGTAGCAAAGATCCTACAGCCAGAAATTTGGGGCGTTCTTTGGATCAGCATGTGCTGGCCATCCTTCATGCCAGGAGAAAAGGAGGCTGTGAGTATTGCCAAGGATAAACTGGGGCCGGCTGCTGCTCGGTGGTTTTAGCCATAATGTTAATTCTGCTTACATAAGTTTAATACTTTCTGCAGTAATTTAGTGCAACTGGGCAACGAATTCAATCTTTTCTAAACTGCAGCTGAATGAAAATCAGTAGCACGAATTTGTGAGCTGTTGTCTTAAATGCACTTGGAGGAATACTGCCTGCATGTATATATTCCTGTTTTATTGGGAGAAGGCAACTGCAGCTGGTTAACACAGAGTACTTGGCATTTCACAGGCTTCAGGAATTCATGGATGCAAAATCCTTCCAATGCACCCCAGTTACATACAAACCAGCAGGCTGTTTTTTTTGTTTGTTTGGTTTTGGTTTTTTTGTGGTGACACTTTGGTATGTAAAGAATTTTCCTTGGATGATTGATGCTTGAAACTTCTCGTATCCTAAACAAGCTAAAATTAGAAAGACTTCAAGCTATGCTTCCTACAGATTCATATATGTCATAGGATGTGGCTGTTGGCACTTCAGGATGATTGATTGTCAAGTTTCACAGGCTGCTGAAGTGTAAAAGACATGATTTCGGGTACCATGGCAAGCAAGGGAGTGGATAGGGTTAGTCAATTGTTTGTTTTGTGGGAAAATAAATATGAAGTGCTTCACTGTGTTGCTAATAAAGAGTTTGGAATGGCAGGTCCAGAAGGGAACTTGGGCCATAGATGAGAGCACTTCTGAGCCCACAAACTGTGTGAGAGATGTTCTCCTAAGAAAACTCTTTGTGAAATTCATTGGGAGGAATGAAACAGTTCAGGAGCTTTGCCAGGGCAGCACCAGCCCCCACTCAGGGTTTCTGACCACTTATCCAGCCACCACATCTCTTCATCCACCTTCCAAGTAATAAAACTTGCTTACAGCCTTCTCTTTAATGTCAGAATATCAGTGTTAAAGGAGGTAAGTCTGTCTGTCTGCATCCTTTGGCAGCTTTGGGAGGCTGGAAATATGCTTGACATATCATCTGGGAAGCTGAGAACTCAAGGCAGTTATTCCTTCAGGAAGCAGATTGTGAATTTTAGGTTTGATGTCAAATATCCTGAAGGCTGCTTGTTGTTCCCATCATTGCCAAGCAAGAAGCACAGGGAGGGAGCAACAAATCTCAGCTGAGGCTCATGTTAATGAGTTTCTGTCTCCAATTAACTCAGGGGAAAGGAACTTACTGGTTACTCAAGGTGGGGAGTTGGATGACACAAATCAAGGGCACAAGAGTCCAAATTAGGTGTGGAGAACTGTGGTAATACCTTTCTGTCACTGAGAATTTGGGATCATTTAGGTTGGAAAAGACCCTTGAGATCACTGAATCCAAGCATAAACTTAACACTGCCAACCCCACCACTAAAAAAGCCTCCTTGAGAGCCACATCTTCACTTTTAAATACCTCCAGGGATAAAAGTAGGAAGGAACTGTGGAGAGATGAAGGATGAATCTCTGAGAACACCTGTGACTGCTTTAGAGACCACAGTTTCTTTGAGGCACTGTACCTTTCTCTTTCAGGATGTTTGATTTGTAAGGAATAACTCTGTCACTGGATTTAAGAGAACTTGAGTTTTGATGCCAGCTCATCCAAGCCCATTTTTGGCCATGGACTACTGTCTTGGTTTGGAAAGTGAGGTGTCTGCTAAGGAAGGCAGGAGCCTCCCCTGAAGTGGAAAATGCAAACTCCCTTCCTCTGAATTATTATAATTTTGAAACTAAGGGGTCCTCAGGCAAAGATATGGGAGCAGGAATAACAGTTCTGTACTAGGAAAATTAAAAAAAAAAAAGCAAGAAAAAAAAAAAAAAAACCAAAAAAAACAAAAAAAAAAAAAACCAACGAAAAAAGCCCGGCCCCCCGGGGGGCAAGGAAGGGGCAGCAGCCCCATCCCAGGGTGGCTCAGCCCTCCTGCAGTGCCAGCTGTGCTTCTGCTGGAGCAGGATCCTGCACAAGGGGGGAGTTTTCCTCTGGAGCTCCAGGGCTGGGGGAGATGGGCCTGGGCTCCTCTGGGAATGCAGGGGAAGGAAGCTGCTCCTCTGGGGATGCAGGGGAAAGAAAGCTGCTCCTCTGGGAATGCAGTGGGAAGAAAGCTGCTCCTCTGGGAATGCAGGGGGGAGAAAGCTGCTCCTCTGGGAATGCAGGGGGCAAAGGCTGCTGTGCTGTTCCCAGGTCAGATTGTATCCAGGTAGGAATATTTGGCTCCTCTGCTGGGCAGAGCATCTCCCCTTTGGATGATGGAATTTTCTCAGCCATGCAGGGACACTCACTGGCCATGAACAGAAGATAATTAATAATTAATGGTCCATGAACAGAAGAGATCTCCTGGAGGGAGGATTGGCTGTAGGAGAGATAAAGAAAAACCTGCCCAATGAACAGCAGAGAACTGCCCCAGCTCTGACAGATGGTGACAGAACACACACCCAGCCAAACCTGAGACAGATACTCAGTTCACTTCCTTTCACCTTTATGAGAAAAGTGAGAAAATATAGCAGAGAATTTGTGGGAATAAAGTCAAAATATCAATTCACTGATGAAAATATGAAAGCATAACTGCACCTTTGTCCTTTGATAAGATTATTTGCTTCTGGGTTGTCCATTCCCCGTTGAAAAATGATAACTTTTTTCCCCCCATCACACTGATATCTGACAGATATCAAACCTCCTTCACGTGGTATTTTCACTGCTTTCTCACCGAACTCTCCTATTAAGCAGCCTGCAGGAGAAATGGCTGAGAATATGCTCACCTTTCACTCCTTTTTGCTCACTGGATGGCCATGAAGGTCTCCTCCACCCTCCATGTTTCTGTGATTCTGTGATATTTTGAAGCAGAACACAACTTATCTGTGTTTCCTACTTCACTGAAAAAGTTTGGAGCACATTTCTGAGACTGCAGAGGCCACTTCCTTACTAATGTAGAGGAAAGTGTCACACAGAGTGCCTTCGTGCCATCTAGCTGGGATTTTGCTGAGAGGTGTGGAAAAAAACTGTTAGCACCTCTCCTTCCT